GTTGTAGCAAAAGTAGTAGTAGTAGTAGTAGTAGTAGTAGCGGCAGCAGTAGCAGTAGTAGTAGCAGCAGCACTACTACTACGACGACTACTGCTAATGTGACGAGTACTACTACTACTACTACTACTACTACTACGACGACGACGACGACGACGACGACTGCTACTACTGTTGTTCTTATTTGGAAAAATTCGTCTTATTATTACTACTACCAGTTCATATTTTCATAATGATAACTGGTGGTAGCAGCAGTCGTCGTCGAAGTAGTAGCAGTAGCAGTAGTAGTAGTCGTCGTCGTCGTAGTAGTAGTAGCAGCAGCAGCAGAAGTACGGCGCTCAGTGGCCCCTATGATGGTGGATCCTACCCTTGAGAGAAATTTTAGGGTCTATGTAAGGGCTTGGGTTTACGGTTCAGGGTTTAGGGTTTAGAGTTTTGTTAAAGGGCTCAGGGTTTGGAGGTTAGGGCTTCGGGGTTAAACTCCCGGATAGAAGCCAGAGTAGGCACTACCGTGCCTTGAAAGCCTCCGACGTGCGTCCATGCCTCTCAATGCGAGCATGCCAGTGCTGCTGCCCTGCGGCTACCCGAACTCAGAACCTCAAAACCTAAGGTAGGGGCCGACAGAGAATTAGAATAGGGTTTTGGGGTATATGAATTATACTATACTTTATAGTAAGGAGCCCCAGAATAGTATTGGTAATTATTTCGGCCCCTTATGTTGAAGCCTCAACCTCAAAACCCTTCTAGAACCTCTTGAAACCCTAAACCCTAAACCCCTGAACCCTAAACCCTACACCCTAAACCCCTAACCCCTAAACCCTAAACCCCCTAAACCCCAAACCCTAAACCGAAAACCCCAAACCCTAAACCGAAAACCCCAAACCCTAAAACCCTAAAACCTAAACCCTAAACCCTAAACCCCAAACCCTAAACCGAAAAACCTTTTCCCTAAACCGAAAACCGAAAACCGAAAACTGGAAACCCAAAAGGAACACCAAAGATCCCTTTCAAGGAACCCCAGGGGTCCCCTCGGAGGAGCCCTAGGGCCCCTTTAAAGGACTTATAGGCTTTAGTTTGGGGTTGAGGCTTAGGGTTTAGTTCTTAGGTTTAGAGCTTTGGGTTTAGGGTTTTAGGCTTTTTTGTTTAGGGTTTCAACCCAAAACAGCCTCAACCAGAAGTTCGCACATTGAACGTGCCAGTGGCCGCCCCTCCATGGCACCGAGGCCTCGTCTGCTCTCCGCGCAGGGAGCTTTTAGAGGTCTTTAAAGGGATCTTTGGTGTTCCTTTTGGGTTTAGGGTTTTCGGTTTAGGGTTTAGGGTTCAGGGGTTAGGGTTTAGGGTTCAGGGGTTAGGGCTTAGGGTTTAAGCTTTAGGCTTTAGGGTTTAGGGTTTAGGGCCTTTTTCCGTCTGAAGGAACTCCCCACATTCAGAATCCGCTCTTGCGGAAGGCCCTAAGCCGGCTACAGTGGGGTTTGGGGTTTGGGATGCGGCTGAAGGCCTAGGGATTAAGAGGGCTGAGGGTTCAGGATGTAAGGATTTGAGAGTTCAGGATCTCCTCTACCACCCGAAGAGCTGTTTAGGCTTTAGGGTTTAGGGTTTAAGGTTTAGGGTTTAGGGTTTAGGGCTTGCAACTACAGTGCAAAAGGCGTCAATGCTTTATGGTTCAGGGAAGGGCCCCCTCCTGCATTAAACAGATTGCCCTGAACATCCCTTCGTTGATTCCATCTCGTATCTTAAAAAAGCCACCAGAATACAAATCCGATGCTCAAACCCAAACACGGACCAGCAAGAAGCCCTTGACTCTAAACCCTGAACCCTAAACCCTAAACCTGGACCCAACCCTTATAGATCCTTTAGAGGAGCCCTTAAAGGAACACTTAAACTGACCCTTATAGACCCTTCAACAGGAACCTTTAAAGGTACTACAGGCTTCTATCATAGGGCCCCCCTTAAAGGGTACTACTCGGTTCTATAGTGGGGTCCCCTTCAAAGAACCCTTCAAGGAACTCGGAACCCTTAAAGGGTACTACTCGGTTCCTTAAACAGGAACTTCGTGAACGGCTCATCTGCTCCATAGAGCGACTGGTGCCCGGGCAGCACCCGGATCAAGGTTGGAAACCTCGTCCTCGCGGCTTCAGGTGAACGGTTTAGGGCTGAGGCCTGTATGCTTGGGGGGGGTGTTTAGGTTAAGGTCTTAGAGTTTAGGGTTTAGGGTATATGGCTTCAGGGTGTTGGAGTTTAGGGTTTATGGCTTCACTTCAGGGTTTTAGAGTTTAGAGTTTAGGGNNGTTTAGGGCTTGATGGCTTTAGGGTTCAGGGTCTTCGGGCTGAGGGTTTAAATATGCATGTCTGTATATCGTCGATATGTCAGTATATCAGGCAGGCACGCAGACAGACATAGACAGATCGACAAATAGACAGATAGATAGATGTTAGCTAGCATGTGTCTTGTCTTTTGCTTAGTACTACTATCTTGCATCGACCATATCTCAGAGAACCATGTACGTATTACGTATGTACATATGTCTACTAGCCGCCAGAGAGAGAGAGAGAGAGAG